TTTTCAACAATATCGGCCGCCCTAAGTGAAGGCAGGCCCGACCAAGGACGAGAGGCCTATTTTGGGCTTACCACACAACTGGGAAATTCAGGCAGTTGCGCAGCACAAGTTGGTTGAGAAAACCCAGGCCCTGCCTGCCTTTCACAAATGTATCTGAGGCAGGCCCTGGGTGAGACACGGGGCATGGACTGTGCACAGGCCGCTGGCAGTTGGACACGGGTAACCACCCCAGGCCCTGTGTCTGATTCCCCTGGACCGGGGCTCAGCCACTTGGGGGCCTACCGGAAGCTTCTGGGAGGGGCCCAGCGTGGCCAGGCAGCACGCAGCAGGCAGGCCACTTCCATATAGGAAAGTGCCTGCCCTCGCATTCGGCATTCGGGCACTTGCTACATGCTGCGCATGCACTGGTGCGCTGTTGGCAGGCAAGCGCCACGCGCTCACGGGCGAGCAAGGGATACGCAGGCAGCCATAGCCGAGCTGGCCTGCGAGGTGCTGGATGGGCGCATGGTGGTCCTTGGGCGCATGGTGGCATCTGTGTGGGGGATCGAGGTTGAGAGTGGAGCGTGAGTCATACCTGGTGCTTGAGACGAATGGCATTGGCCGAGATCTGCTCGTACTTTGGGGAGCTGTTGACGTCACCAGCGGCATTGTAGATAGGCTAGATAGGATCTGCCACTGGGCGCCGAGCGCCAGATAGGAAGTCGACATTGGTTCATTGTTGATGATGATGAGACTATTCCAACATTGTCACGTGTGATCTTTTGCTGTGCTCTTATTTTGGTGGGACTCGAGTCGCAATTCTGCTTTTGGTTCGAGGTCACGACTATCTGGTTTCATGTGTATGATGCTGCTTGGTTTTCAGGAATTCGCTATCGCTCATTTTCCTTGCATTTTGGTATCAGAGCTATGGTACGTTGCGCTAATCTGGCACTTGTTTTCTGCCTATGCGGTACATGCATGCTGTCTTCTGGGTGAGCGGCCATAGGGAGTGTGTAGTGAGGAGGGCGAAGGCAAGCAGGCGACCCAGGCGAAGAGGGGTATCCCCAGGGAGGCTATGAAGTGGTATTTGGGTGTTCGCAGTGGGATGAGAACTATCTGATGTGTGATTGATGCTGAGGTGGAACGACGGTGTAATGTTGGCTGTGCCGAAGCAATGATTGGTCATCACAAACGGCGTCAGGTCATCTAGAGAGAATATTTGTGGTTGGGGGCAGCTATTTTGAGGTACGTTGCCCTTAACCTTATCTACCCTCGTCGACACTTCTTACTGTGAGGATGTGAGTTCTGACTTGAGAGTCCTCTCATGTGAGGAGTCGAGTGCGCTCAACCTTGAGAGTCGGCATTGTTCACGCGGAGCATCTGGAAGGAGAGGGCGGAGCTATCTGAAGGGCCCTGGACGAAGCACCGGGTCACGGTCACCATGCCAACCCACCGGGAGTAGAGCACGCATGCTTTGCTGCTTTGTCCTTTGTCTGCCAGCTGCGCTGTACATGGGTTATGAGGGGCAGGCCAGTCCTACAGGGGAGACGAGTACCGGACATCTATAAATAAATACCGGCGGGGTTACCTTCCATTGGCTGTGATCGTCGTCCTGTTTGCGACGTTAAATAATTTATGAGGACTTCGTGGGCTGTCCTTAAACACCTCTTGATCAGCCAATCAGTCGGTTTAAGGCTCGCTGCACGCGAGGGTAAACATGGTGCAAGGCTGGCCAGCTCAGCATAGACTCGGGGCACAGGGGTGGGCCGTGTGCACACCTTTAGACACACACGCTATCTGGATCGCTCAGGGACGCTAACGTCAAGTGACACTTAAGAAAGAACCGAGGGAGGGGTATATTTCAGGTGATAAGTTCAGGAACAATTCCACTTTGCCAACAGCCAATCAAATGATTCTGTTTCTATTTTGATTAGTTAGATGTACAACCCTTAACATTTGACAGACAGCATAGGTAGAACTGTTTCTGCACATTTACTTCCTGTTTGCGGACTAGTCAAATAAAATAGTTTCGTTTGTAGGAATCTGGACTTACCTGTTGGACCCAACTGTGTATACTCTGACATAGCCACCGATTAAAATTGGTCTGAGCACTACGCTGCAGTAGGCAACCAGGTTTGTCCTAGTGCAGCCCGTGCACAATGTTGTAGCTCATGAACGACCGGGAGAACCCTGACCGGACGATAGGATTCTGCGATCGGCAAGACGCCCGTTGGTCCACGTAGCTTTAGGACTAGAGGGAGACCGTTTCTGTTCCGCCAGCTTAGGGAGAGGCAGCAGAGGCAGCAGCAGCAGCGGAGGGGTAGGGCCGCAGAGGCAAGTAGAGTTTTCGGAAGCGAGGCAGCTGCTTCAACAGCCATGGCCACTGCTGCGCAACAAAGTTCCCAGGCCAGTACCTCAGGGACGGTCGGGGCGATGGTCGCACAGACCCTGAGTCAGTCTGCTGCCGTTATGGCAAGCCAGCAGTTAGTGTCGACTCCCAAGGAGATCGCCATACAGAGAGCCAGTGCTCATGAGGCACAACTACAGCAGGCATTAGATGAGATACAGGTAGAAAAGGAGAGAATGATTAGAAGGACTCTGATGCAACGGAGACAAGCGGACATTAGAGAGTTAGAGAGGATGGACCTGACTAATATGGATAGTGATGTGAGGACCATGAGGACAACCCTGTTAGATGTAGTGGAGATGCAGGACTACCACACGTCACTCTTACAGGACATCCAACGAAGCCTCGCTGTGCTGGTCGGGCGAGTTCAGGGTGCACCATCACCATCAGGGCCCGGTGCCTGCCCCGTGGGACAACCCCCTCCTTTTGTCCCACCGGTGGCTGGAGTATCCCCACTTGCAGTCTCTCCAGCTTCGGTACAGGCCGCTTCCCTACTGGGTATGCCCTTGACAGGCGGGTTAGCAGCACATCCTAGTGTACAGGTTCCTGTTCAGACAGTGTTCTCCCAAGCTTCGTTGCAAACCGTCGTAACTGGGCAGCCTGCCGTCTCGCAGCCGGCACAGTCGCAGGGTACACAGCCCCAATAACGAGTAGTGCAGCAGCCTGCGCCCCAGGGTCCACAGCCTGGAGTGGTGCAGGCACCGGGACAAGGACAGTGGGTTCCCAAGACTGCCATTGCATCGCCCAAACCCTTTTTAGGGGATAAGAGGGGTGAGGACCTCGACGCATGGTTGAGGTCAGTGCGAGTCTATGTTAAGTGCAAGCTTACCTTGCTTCACGAGGAAGTGTTTGCGGCTGTCTCCTACTTGGAGGGGAGTGCAACAAGATGGTTAAGCGGGTATGTGCAACTGCACGGGTACGGTCATGACTTTCGTGCTTGGGCAGTCAACCAGAAATTGGATGACTTCCTCAAGCTGGTGGAGGAAAGGTGGCATGATCCGAAGGAGGCCCAAAAGGCCACTAACGCGATCATGAACCTAAGTTCTATGAAGTTTAGGTCAGTAAGGGATGCCACGAACGTTGTCGAGCGTCTGATCTGTGTACCTGGAGTATGTTACGATCCCCAGGTCTTACTCACCACTTACCTGAGGTGTCTTCCCATAGAACTTAGGAATCAGTTGGCAGGTGAGGCCATGATCACAGTGCGCAACTGCCCCTCGTTCAATAAGAAGGCCTTGGATCTGGAGGCCAGATCGGGCATGGGCGCTGACCCACAACGGATGGTAGGAAGAAGGCGCTGCCTCCTAACTGGAAGGCAAAGGGTCGCATCATGTTCGTCGATAACGATGGTTCAACCATAGAGTTAGACGACGACTTCCAGGAGGGAGTAGGGTCAGAGGCAGGCAGCGCAGAAGCTTTAGGGGGTGGAGCAGCCGCTGCCTCTATGCAACAAAAAGGTAAGGCGACCGGTAGACGCCGCGGAGGCTCCCGGTTTAGGAGTCAAGTAGACCCCAATGCTCCTCCATGGGAGAAAGCGGGGCTCACTGAGGACGTGTGGAGAGAATGTTACACCCGGTAGGCTTGTATCCGTTGTGGCCAATATGACGATTAACCAATTCAAGTGTCTGAATAAGAAGGTAACGGAAAAGATCCCGCCTACAATGGGGCAGGCGTCAGTCTCCTCTGCTTCTCTAGGTAGCAATGTCGCTAGCAGTTTTGACACTGCTCCGGGAAACACGTCGGGCCATTAGGAATTGTGGTTGTTCCTGCTAGGGTCAAGGTGGTGGACACACCCTCACCATCTCAAGAGATGGCCCAAGCTATTGACTCCGTTGTTGTCCCACAAACACATTCGGACCAATCTATCATTTGTTCGATGAATGTGTTTGAGTCCTTAGAGGAGCTAGATGAGGAGCGGTCTAGATCGAAGCCGCTAGCTTCTTGGACGACCATGGCTAAAGCTCCTAAGGGTGAGTTGTTCGTCGGCGAGGTAGATATAGGCGGCCGCAAGGCCGGGGCCTTTTATGATACTTGCTCGATGAGGAACTTTATCAGTCGCACGCGTGTTGCGAGGCTGCGCTTACAGGGGCAAGTGCAGTGCCTGAGTCGACCTGTGGATTCGACCTGTGCCAACAAACAGCGCATGATAGTCAATGATCACCTTAAAGACGTTGAGTGTTGTTTCCCGTATGCTTGAGGGGAACTGAGACATTGAGTCTCATTTCTAGTCAGCGATGATCTCCCCATGGATATCTTGCTGGGTATGTACTATCTTTCGGTTGCACAACCCCAGTTTGACTGGGACCGAAAAGTGGTCAAACACACTTTGCCCGGAGGGGGGACCACTAGATTACGTAAGTTTAAAGCTAGTAGTCTAGTTGATTCCTACGAATGCATGTGTGCGGCCTCGTTCTATAATTACTATAAGCAAAATCCGGAGGAGGGTATGTACTTAGTTTATGTCTCTGCAGAGGGCGAGCCGGCGAAAATGCCTACAGAGATAGAGGGAGTGGTCGCTAGATACCCTGATCTATTTGAAGAGCCGAAAGGGGTTGTTGAGAGGAAGGTCGTCTACGCGATAGAGATTATCCCAGGGTCTAGTATTCCGAAGGGTAGGATCTATCGGATGTCTCCAGCGGAGCTTGATGAGCTTCGCCGGCAACTCAAGGAACTCATAGAGAAGGGTTGGATCCGGCCTACTGTTTCCCTTTATGGATCTCCTTTCCTATTTGTACCAAAGAAGGGGGGGAACCATGAGGATGTGCATTGACTATAGGGGCCTCAATGCCATCACAGTGAAGAACACAGAGCCCCTACCGCGCATCAATGACTTGTTGGACAGAGTCCAAGGGTGCCGGTACTTCAGTAAGATAGATCTGAAGTCCGGGTACCATCAGATTGCAATCCAGCCCCAGGATCAACATAAAACCGCTTTTCAGACCAGGTACGGTCTGTACGAGTTTGTGATGATGCCTTTCGGCCTTTGCAATGCTCCTGGCACCTTTCAGCACGCCATGAACTGGATTATTCATGACTACCTGGACAAGTTTGTCATCGTGTACCTCGATGGCATTCTTATCTTTAGTAGGACTGTCGAGGAGTATGTTGGCCATCTAGACAAAGTCCTTAGTCTCCTTCAGCAGCACCAGTTCAAGATTAACCGGAAGAAGTGCGAGTTTGGCTGCACCCGGATCTTATACCTGGGTCATGAGATTTTCGTGGAGGGATTGAAGCCCGATGACGCGAAGGTGGCCAGCATTCGTGAGGGGCCGTGTCCTCAGTCTGTGACTGAGATGAGGTCCTTCTTAGGGATGACCGACTACTACCGTAACTTCGTAAAGAACTATAGCATAGTGGCCGTCCCTTTGACGGACCTGACACGCCTTGACACCCGGTGGGAGTGGACAGACAGGTGTGAGGCTGCTTTCAGACATTTGAAGCACTCCTTAACACACCATGAGGTCTTGAAACTTCTTGATCCTAACAAGCCATTCATAGTAACCACAGATGCCAGCCAATATGGCATTGGTGTTGTGCTTGCGTAGTAGGAGGGGCCAAAGTTGAGGCCAATCGAGTACATATCCAAAAAGATGTCCTCTCAGAAGTTGGCTAAGTCCACCTATGAGAAGGAGCTCTATGCGATCTTCAAGGTGCTAACCCACTGGAGACACTACCTCCTTAGGAGGTTCTTCTACGTCACGACTGACCATCAGACGCTGAAGTGGATGAGAACCCAGTCAGTGCTCTCCGATGCCTTGAAACGTTGGATCGAAGTCATTGAGCAATATTATTTAGAACGTCGGTACATCAAAGGGGAGTATAACAAAGTTGCTGATACGCTGTCGCGTAGGCCGGACTTCCTGGGTGCGCTGATCACTGAGTACGGGCTTGCGGACGATGTTACTCGGTCCCTGGTAGAAGCCTAGCGCGAGGATCCGTTTATGTCAGAGATCATATGCAGACTTGAAGCGAAGGACAAAGTTACTTCTGATTAGTTTGTAATGGTCAATGGCCTGCTGTTCCTTGACAAGGCCAGGTTTAAATGTTTGTGTGTGCCTAGTCGGGAGTCTTTGCGTAGTTTATTTTTAGGAGAGTGTCATGACGCCACCGGACATTTTGGCTATAAGAAGACTGCAGCCAACCTGCTGCAGCAGTTCTTTGGTGGCCCACAATGATGAGAGACGCCAAGCTGTACGTGGAGACTTGTCAGGTCTGTCAGAGGGACAAGCCACGTACACAGGCCCCTCTTGGGCTTCTCAAGCCCCTTCCTATACTGGAAAGGCCCGGTGAGAGCCTGTCCATGGATTTCATGGACACGCTGGTCACCAGCAAGAGCGGTATGCGATACGTCTATGTCATTGTGGATAGGTTTAGTAAGTATGCTAGGTTAATAGCAATGCCCGGAACAGCCAAAACCAAGTACGTAATTAAGTTGTTTATAGATAACTGGGTTAGGGATTTTGGACTGCCAAAATCTATAGTTAGTGACCGGGATGTGCGATTTACCAGTGAATTGTGGAAAGCCGCAGCTGCAAAACAGGGGACACAGCTGTAGATGACTTCTGGGAACCACCCAGAGGCAAACGGGCAAGCAGAGCAGTTGAATCACGCTGTACAACACCTGCTGAGGCACTACATCAAGCCTAACCAGGTGGACTGGGATGAGAAACTTGCTCTCATCGCTAGCCTGTACAACAACGCTGTGCACAGCGCAACAGGAGTAAGCCCTAACAGTTTGCTACTGACCTTCAAGCCTAGACTGCCCCTAGACTTTCTATTACTTGAGAACCAGCCGACTGCTGCACCTGACACCTTAGAGTTTGCCTATCGATACGGGCGCCTGATGCAGCAAGCTGTAGAACAGATGCATAAAGCGCAGGCAGCAATGATAGAGTCTGAGGACAAGCATCCCCGCCCATCTACATTCCAGGTAGGGGATAGAGTCTGGGTCAAAGCCTCTGAACTGGGGCAGGAGCGTGGGATCTCCCGCAAGCTCATGCCACAGTACTTCGGGCCATGGGAGGTTCTAGATGTTGTTGGGGATAATCGGGACGGGCCATCATATGTAATTCCGATCCCTGGTCACCTCCGCACCTACCCTGTTTTTCACTCCTCTAAGCTCGCACCTTTTGAGGAAACTGATCAGTTTCCCTCTCGTCGCTCAATGCTGCCCCCAACCATGGACAGAGAAATGGACATTGATGACATCGTGGACCACAGAGAAATGCCCGTTCCAAGACCAACAGGCAGGGGACTTCCTCCTAAGCCGAAGCTGCAATATCGCGTTCGGTTCAGACATCACACTGATCGTAAGGAGGGCAGATGGTTTACCCGGGAGGAACTGATGCAGACTTCTCCACAGGCTGTCGCTCACTATGAGAAGTCACTGCGGAAAGGAAAGCGCCAGATTGAGTAATTGAACTTCTCAGAGGACTGTTGAAGTATGGAGGAGGGAATGCGAGGCTCAAGGCCTCGACGAGCCCTACTGGGCCCTGTTTTCAACAATATCGGCTGCCCTAAGTGAAGGCAGGCCCGACCAAGGACGAGAGGCCTATTTTGGGCTTACCACGCAACAGGGAAATTCAGGCAGTTGCGCAGCGCCGGTTGGTTGAGAAAACCCAGGCCCTGCCTGCCTTTCACAAATGTATCTGAGGCAGGCCCTGGGTGAGACACGGGGCATGGCCTGCGCACAGGCCGCTGGCAGTTGGACACGGGTAACCACCCCAGGCCCTGTGTCTGATTCCCCTCGACCGGGGCTCAGCCACTTGGGGGCCTACTGGAAGCTTCTGGGAGGGGCCGAGCATGGCCAGGCAGCACGCAGCAGGCAGACCACTTCCATATAGGAAAGTGCCTGCCCTCACATTCGGAATTCGGGCACTTGCTACATGCTGTGCAAGCGCTGCTGCGCTGTTGGCAGGCAAGTGCCACGCACTCACGGGCGAGCAAGGGATACGCAGGCAGCCATAGCCGAGCTGGCCTGCGAGGTGCTGGATGGGCGCATGGTGGTCCTTGGGTGCATGTGGCATCTGTGTGGGGGATCGAGGTTGAGAGTGGAGCGTGAGTCATACCTGGTGCTTGAGACGAACGGCACTGGCCGAGATCTGCTCGTACGTCGGGGAGCTGTTGATATCACCAGTGGCATTGTAGATAGGCTAGATAGGATCCGCCATTAGTAGTCTGGGCGTCGAGCGCCAGATAGGAAGTTGACATTGGTTCATTGTTGATGATGATGAGACTATTCCAACATTGTCACGTGTGAGCTTTTGCTGTGCTCTTATTTTGGTGGGACTCGAGTTGCAATTCTGCTTTTGGTTCGAGGTCACAACTATCTGGTTTCATGTGTATGATGCTGCTTGGTTTTCTAGAATTCGCTATCGCTAATTTTCCTTGCAATATATAATATATATTATATATATATATATATATATACAGGGTTACCTGACCGAACGTTCGGGGGGCCCAGGGCTGGCCCCCGAACGTTCGGGCGTTCGGGGTCCCGTCCAGGGGCCGAACACCTCCAGGTTCGGCCCCTGCCAAAAAAATTCTCGGGGCCTAAAAATAAGTTTTTTTCTTCTGAATTTTGTTTTGTGAGTTCTCTATGATGTAA